GAAAAGAGTTTGATCCCTATTCGAGCAGTTAATAACTTCGACATGGCTATACCAATCCTTAGTCCTTAATCCATGGACAGATCCGTGTTTGTTTACGTCTAAGTATCCAATGGGTTCATCGAGGCTTTCATAGGAAAATTCGAACCATCAATTTCTGGTTCGATTTCATCTGAACTGATTCCTTGGTACCGATCCTCTGTCTGATACATTTGGTAGTTTTGATGATCGTAGTATCGATCTAAGTTCTGGTATCCATCTTGTGTAGGTCTCGATGTGGATGAGATGTTAAATAGTTCTCTGCTTGTAAATTTTGGTGGTTCTGAGGGTCGAAAGAAATTATTTTGAGGTTGTACATTTAGTTGGTTTTGCCGTAGGTGTGTATACCCGGAGCTAGTGTCCATTGGTTCTTGTTTACTAAAACTTGGGTTGTTTTGCCTTACTGGTTGATTGTGCGCTATGTTATTAAAATGTGGCCGGAAATTTTGAAAATTTCTCCTGAATGTATTAAGGGATCTGTTAAAATTTTTATGAAATTGTGGAGGACGTGGGAAATTATTTGAAGTTGTTTGAGTTTGCGGATTATGCTTATTGGATATGGAAGGTTTGGGATTTATTCTTGAATTATTGGGGTGGTTATTGTACCTGGGAACAGAATGGTCAAATCTGGAATATGATATATTTTGTTCCTTTATGCAATAGGAGAATGCTATTGCTAGTGTTTCAGGCTTCATAGCTCTTATAGTAGAGCCCAGTGGTTCTCTTAGACCAGAGAGGAACACATTTAAGCACATTTCGGTGTGGAGATCTTTCTTCGCCTTGATAACGTTTGTATCTCGTTAATGAATTTGAACGTGAGTCGTAATGGTAGCTAGGATTTCAATAATTTCGCTATAAAAACTTTCTACGCTTTTATTTCCCTGCTTTAAATTATGTAAATCACGTATGAGGGATGTTTCATTTCTTTTGTCTGAATAATGTAGTATAAGATTATTTTTTATATCATTCCATTTTAATGGAGTACCGTACATATTCAGTACCTCGTTTGCTGGTCCTACAATTTTGTTTTTTATAGCCCTCAGCAGTATTTGATAGTATGGAGTGTTTTGGGTGCATACTATAAGGGCAATAATTTCTTCTACGTTGTTTATAAATTCAAATAGAAGTTTGGGATTTCCTTCAATTTTAGTGAGGTCTTTAATGCCATCAGGTACACGTAATGAATTAAATATGTCGGTGGTTGAAATTGTTTGGTTTGAGTTCGTTGCCATATCTTATTGTTTATGTTTAATTCGGGTATTAATTTACTATCAAATAGACTAGCCGAACTCCAATCTTCTAAATTTTCAAAGTATTCACCTTTGTTATTAGAAATTTTACTATTGGAACTTCTACTTTTACAATTTAGAGGGTAGGGTGTTGGGAATTTTCTTTTCTTACTTGGCATAGATCTTTATACCCGTACGAACGTATGTTCGAAGGGTATACTAAATTTTTTCCGAAATATAATTTTTTTATTGGTGTGAAAAGAAAACTTCCTTTTATTCGGAATAAAATACTTTTTTTTTTTTTTTTATTTTTCGCTAATATATTTCGTGCGCTACATACGCACTTTATCAATAGAAGAAAATCAGCTTTGATAAAGTGCGTATGTAGCGCACGAAATATATTAGCGAAAAATAAAAAAAAAAAAAAAAGTATTTTATTCCGAATAAAAGGAAGTTTTCTTTTCACACCAATAAAAAAACTCAAGTGTATGTTTTTGATCAGCGTCAAATTCAGAGTTGATTTACCTTTGTCTGTCCGTCCGTCCGTCCCAGCGATAACTCAAAAACTAATTGAGCTAACTCCACCAAATTTTCATAAATGATTTATTGTAGCAAGTGCCAGAACCCTATTTAAATTGGACATGATCGAGGTACTGGTTCGGGTAGCTGCCATACAACTTCAAAAGTTATTTGGCTATATCTCAGAAACTATAAAAGCTATGGTATTGAAATTTCACCCAAGCGAATATAACATTAGGGCCGATGTGCTTGATAAAATTTATTTAAATTTTTTGGCCCTCTCTGGTAGATGCCATACAACTTACAAAACACACAGTATTTTGAAAAACATAAGTACTGAAATTTTGCATAAATTAATAAGGTAATACGGGAACTTAAAGTCATAGTCTGTCCCATAGTCAGTTATGGCATATTTATTTGCACACAGGATAACAAATTCGTACGGGTATCACAGAGTTGACAAGGTCAACTCTATTTTTTTCTCGTTTTTTTTTCTTTATGCAATGTAGTTGGAATTGTACTAAATATAGTTGTAATTTTAATTAATTTTCTTGCAATGTTATATTCAATAATATTTTTTTAATTAATAAAAATTTATATATTTGGTTTTAAAGCTTTATTGTAATTTGTAATTGTAAGGATAATTTGTAAACGTTTGTTTTAAAGTTTTAAGTGTTTTTGTAACTATTTAATGATAATAACTTAATAGCTTACATGCATACCCACGTTAAATACGTCAGTATAATACGATTGCATTACATGCATAAATACGATTGAAATCCAAAGCCTTGTTCACTAGTCCACAGGGATGTTGTATGATTTAACAACCAATTTCCTCTTGACGCTAAGTTTCTACCAATGATCCGTTGGCAGCACACAACACACACCCAATCACTAAATTTTTCTTGAAATTATCATTAAAATCTGACTTTCACTAGCAATTTTTAACACCACTTATGGTTAATTATGATTTTAGTTTTTAATTAAAATTTGTTTAATGTTTTAAGTCAAAAATTTTTTGATTAGATTTTGATTAGTATAATTTTTCATAAAAAATATTCGTATTGTAACTGCGAACCGTTAAGTTTTCTTTACGATAACCCGTCGTAAATTTTACTTAAGTGAACTACCGACTTAAAATGATCCTACCGAATTCGCCAAATACGTAACGTACTAACGCAGGTAGGAAAAAAAACGAATTTATATTTACAAATAAAATTTTATTGTGTCGCTATGATTACAATTTCTATAATATAATAATTCTACATAATAATTTCCAGAGTATTTATAAATCTTTTATGCTGATTTTTATACCCTGCAGCTCGTGAAGGGTATATTAACTTTCGTATGGAGTTTTTAACTACTTGAAGGAGTCATCTGCGGTATGGACATACAGTAGAAATCTGCTCTAGTGAACGCCCGACTTTATGAACTTCCCAATCGAGTGAACACAAAAATTTTAGCATTGACTGCCTTACACTGTGAACAAAAATTTTTATAAGTGCCCAGTATAGTGAACAAATTTTACAAAACTGTTTTTTTTTTATATTATTCTTTTTATTTTTCTCATTGTAACGGGATTTTTCAAGTTGAATTACAAAAGAGAGCATTATTTTGTTTATTTAACATTATAAGTCATACATTGTGTTAGGTAATGGCATTCAATTAAAGTGTAATTTCGATAAAATAAAAGTGTTCAAATTTTTTTTAAAATGCCGAAAACGAATATTAAAAGAAAACATTTGAATTTCAATGAAAAAATTAAAATTATAAAATCTTTAGAGTCAGGAGTAAGTGTTACAACATTATCTAAGAAATTGGGTATAGCTAAATCAACCGTGTGCGCGATTAATAGCAGAAAACTGAAGTTAAAGAGCCAAATTCGGTTACTAATTTAACTGAAAACGTGATAGAAACAGTTGAAGCAAAAATTTCTGATTATGAAGCCCTTCAAGCGCTAAATAAGACTATACAATGGGCTTCAGACAACGATATCTTGTTAACCGACCAAGTCACACTTAGAAATATAAGAGAAAATATTGTTTTAAAAATTTCAAATAAAAAAAAAATTCAAAAAAAAGTAACTGAATACTTTTCGAAACAATAAAGCTTTAAAAACTACTTTTTAGTTTAATTTATTTGACATTTAATACAGTGAACAGGTTCAATAGAACGAACAGCCTGTGTTTTTATTATGTTCACTCGAGCAGATTTCTACTGTATATATATATTCTTGCTCAGCGTAAAATTCTGTATTGATTTAGGCATGTCCGTCCGTCCGTCCGATTACTCAAAAACGAATAATGCAATCGACACCAAACTTTCACAAGTTGCTTCTTTTGTGCCATTGGACCGATTCGGACAACGGGTTCAGGTAGCTGCCATACAACTCAAAGAGTTTATTTTAATTATTTCAAAAACTAATAAAGGTACAAATATAAAATTTTGTATATAGTGTCCAATTATATTCCACATTATGCTCTAAAAATTTTAATGAGATAGCTGCACCAGTTCGGGTGGTTGCCATACAACTCCAAAAGCAAATTTTTTATATTCGGCAAAATAATAAAGTCAGATTCATGAAACTTGGCAGTTGTGTTTCCAATTATAGGTCAAAGATATTTCTGAAGTTTTGGTGGGATTGCTTGACAGGTTCGAGTAGCTCCCATACAAGTCCAAAAGCTTACTTTAAATATTTGAAAAAATAAAAAAGTTAGATTCATGAAATTTGGCAGTTGTGTGTCCAATTATAGATCAGATATACCTCCGAAGATTTAGTGGAATTGCTTGACAGATTCGGGTACCTGCCATACAACTCCAAAAGCTAATTTTAAATATTTGGGAAAATAATAAAGTCAAATTCATGAAACTTGGCAGTTGTGTGCCCAATTACAGACCAGATATATTAGCGAAATTTTAGTGGAATTGCTTGGCAGGTTCGGGTACCTGCCATACAACTCCGAAAGATAATTTTAAATATTTGGAAAAATAATAAAGTCAAATTCATGAAACTTGGCAGTTGTGTATCCAATTACAGATCAGATATATTTGCAAAGTTTCAGTGGAATTACTTGGCAGGTTCGGGTACCTGCCATACAGCTCCAAAAGCTAATTTTAAATATCTGGAAAAGTAATAAAGACAGATTCATGAAACTTGGCAGTTGTGTGTCCAATTATAGGTCAAAGATGTTTCTGAAGTTTTGGTGGAATTGCTTGACAGGTGTAAAAATTCCAATTTTCATCGGAAAGTAATGAAGACTTACTACAGAAATGATCCTGTGAAGTATAGTCTTAAGGGTCTTAAGGGTCTACGAAGCGAAATATATAGCCTCTCACGACCAAATGTCAACCCCAGCCTTCTCGTGGCAAGACCTGTTCAAAACAGATGGGGCTATGACGACCGAGTATTGGCGGGATAACCATAAACAACAACGCCCTAAACTAAATACTTAGGAGCACCATCACGGTCCTCCAAAGATGGGGGTTAGACGTTGGACTAGTAATCCACTCTGTAAAAACTTCTTACTACGGAAAGTTTGCAAGATGAACTTCAGGATGATCGGATAGGATATTATCCAAATGGTACAAGACCCAGGCAACGAAATAAGGCTAACGATTTTAGGAAACATGATATGGACATAGGATCTTGGAACGTAAGAACGATGCTACAGGCAGGAAAAATGCAAGAAATAGCTGCTGAAATGGAACGTTATAATCTATATATTCTTGCTCTGCAGGAAATAAGATGGAAGAAGGCTGGCAAAATAGAAAAGAAAAATTTCACCTTATACTACAGCGGACAAAACAGAAGCGGATACGCTGGAACGGGCTTCATGGTGTCAAAAAGGGCAAGGTCAGCAATATTGGGCTTCACACCTATCAGCGAGAGAATATGCTGACTTAGAGTTAAAGGGAAATTCAACAATATAACTTTAGTGTGTGCATATGCCCCAACAGAAGAAGCATCAGATGACGATAAAGATGAATTTTATGATGAACTAGGAAGAATAATTGACAAAATAGGGACTTATGAAACAATTATAGTCTTGGGTTGACTTTAATGCCAAAATTGGCACTGAATCATTTACGACGGAAGTTGCTGGACAACATTCTCTACATCAAGAGACCTCGGGAAATGGATCAAGACTATGTCAATTGGCAGCAAACTCCTTGTTCTACATAGCAAGTACTAATTTTCCTCACAAAAACATACATAAAGGGACGTGGAAGATACCTGGCAGTGATATGGTAAACCAAATTGACCATGTGTTGATAAATAAAAGAAGGATGTCGTCAATCATGGACGTACATACATGTAAAGGAGCAAATTGCGATAGTGACCACTTTCTTATAAAGACTAGGCTGAGGCAAAGAATCTCGAATGTAGCGAAACACAAAGGAGTTCGAAAGAAAAAATGGAACACAGAAAAATTCAAAGAAGGTGATACAAGGACTATGTTTGCTGAGGCCATAAACAGAAGATTGTCACAATACGAAAGTGCAAATATCGACGTCAATGAAGAATGGGGGCAACTAGAAAAAATTCTTAACGAAACTACGAATGAAATAATCGGTGTGGCACAAAAACGACGAAATGAGGAATGGTATGACAATGAATGCCAAATAGCAGTACAAAAGAAAAACGATGCAAGAAACAATATGTTAAGAACAAATACCAGACTCAACAGACAAATATATAACACGCTAAGAAAAGAAGCCAAAAAGACAATAAATAAAAAGAAAAAAGCAGCTCTTAAAAGAAAAACCGAGCAAATATGTAAAGACTTTGAAGAAAATCAGATTCGACGATTCTATATGAAGATAAAAGATGAGAAACGCGGTTTTCAACCTAGACTAAATAACTGTTACGACAAAAATGGTGCAATATTAAGTGAGGAGGACGATATACTAGATAGATGGAGAGAATATTTTGACGAATTATTAAATATAGAACATTCTGTGATAGATAATGGGATACCCATACAAAGAAACATAAGTGCAATAGAATACAGACAATAAGAACTACCAACCAGACAAGAAGTGGAAAATGCAATTTTCCAGATGAAAAATAACAAATCTCCAGGAGAGGATGGCATTGCGGTAGAAATATTTAAAAACGCGGGTGAAACTTTTATCTCTAGAATACATAATCTAATATGTAGGATTTGGGATACAGAGAACATACCAGAAAAGTGGGAGCAAGGATTAATTGTGCCGATACATAAAAAAGGCAATAAGCTCGACTGTACAAACTACAGGGGTATCACATTACTGAACACAGCCTACAAGACCCTCGCCAATATCATTAATAACAGACTAAAAGAAGTGGCTGAAGATATACTAGGAGACTACCAGGGTGGATTTAGACGGAATCGATCCACTATCGATCAAATATTCTTATTACGACAAACTATGGAGAAGTGCTACGAATACAAGAGAAATTCACATTTACGAATGGTTGACTTCCAACAAGCTTTTGACTCTATAAGGAGAGAAATAGTTGAATCTGCACTCCAAAACTTGGGAGTATCGATAAAGCTTACAAACTTGGTCATCTTGACACTCAAAAGGACCAGATGTAAAGTGGCACTACAGAACAAATTGACCGATGAATTTGAAATAAAAACAGGTGTGAGACAAGGCGATGCACTGTCAACAACAATATTTAATTTGATGCTCCACAGTGCCATTAGAGAACTAGATAGAGGAGGACACATATTTATAACATCATCAATAATCAGCGCATACGCGGATGACATTGTAATCATAGCAACATCAGTTGACGAAATGAAAGAAGTATTTTTGACGCTAGAAAGAGAAACTGCTGCAGTTGGTCTAAAAATTAACGAATCAAAGACAAAATATATGAAAATGACGCGCTCGGAAACGACAAGATCCCCTGAGAACATCACAATAAATAATTACAATTTTGAAGGAGTAAGCTGTTTTACTCCTTTTGAAGGAGTAAGCATTGGACAATTAGTGATCGTTTGCAAGCAGCCCAAAAATGTTAATCTTGACAAAAATCTATTTAAGTCCAGGCTACTGAATAGAACAATTAAACTTAGAATATATAAAACTATTATTCAACCGGTGCTAACGTATAGCTGTGAATCCTGGACAATGACTAAAAACGATGAAATGAGTCTTAAAATATTCGAAAGAAATATACTAAGAAAAATATTTGGTCCCAAAATAGACGAGAATCATGAATATAGACGAAGAACCAACGCAGAGTTGGAAGAATTAATAAATGGACAAAACGTAATAAAAGCTATAAAATCACAAAGATTAAGATGGGCGGGGCATGTCGTAAGAATTACAGATGACAGGATGCCAAAAAGAATATTTGACGCGACGCCGTATAATACTAGAGCAAGAGACAGACCAAGATCTAGATGGGTGGATGAAATAGAAAAAGATTGTAGAAAAATCGGCGTACAGAGATGGAGAGTTATAGCTCAAGATAGATCGGAATGGAGGAAAATTGTGAACGAGGTTAAGGCTCACCCCGAGCTGTAATACCAACAGGTGATGATGATGATGCTTGACAGGTTCGAGTGGCTCCCATACAAGTCCGAAAGCTTATTTTTAATATTTGGAAAAGTAATAAAGTTAGGTTCATGAAACTTGGCAGTTGTGTGTCCAATTATAGATATGATATACCTACGAAGTATTAGTGGAATTGCTTGACAGCTTCGGGTACCTGCCATACAACTCCAAAAGCTAATTTTAAATATTTGGAAAAATAATAAAGACAGATTCATGAAACTTGGCATTTGTGTGTCCAATTAAAGGTCAAAGATATTTCTGAAGTTTTGGTGGAATTGCTTGACAGGTTAGAGTGGCTCCCATACAAGTCCAAAAGCTTATATTAAATATTTGGAAAAGTAACAAAGTAAGATTCATGAAACTTGGCAGTTGTGTGTCCAATTATAGATCAGATATATTTGCGAAGTTTTAGTGGAATTGCTTGACAGGCTCGGGTACCTGCCATACAACTCCAAAAGCTAATTTTAAATATTTGGGAAAATAATAAAGTCAAATTCATGAAACTTGGCAGTTGTGTGTCCAATTATAGACCAGATATATTAGCGAAATTTTAGTGGAATTGCTTGGCAGGTTCGGGTACCTGCCATACAACTCCAAAAGATAATTTTAAATATTTGGAAAAATAATAAAGTCAAATTCATGAAACTTGGCAGTTGTGTGTCCAATTATAGATCAGATATACCTACGAAGTATTAGTGGAATTGCTTGGCAGGTTCGGGTACCTGCCATACAACTCCAAAAGCTAATTTTAAATATTTGGAAAAATAATAAAGAAAGATTCATGAAACTTGGCAGTTGTGTGTCCAATTAAAGGTCAAAGATATTTCTGAAGTTTTGGTGGAATTGCTTGACAGGTTCGAGTCGCTCCCATACAAGTCCAAAAGCTTATTTTAATTATTTGGAAAAGTAATAAAGTAAGATTCATGAAACTTGGCAGTTGTGTGTCCAATTATAGATCAGATATATTTGCGAAGTTTTAGTGGAACTGCTTGGCAGGTTCGGGTACCTGCCATACAAATCCAAAAGCTAATTTTAAATATTTGGAAAAATGATAAAGTCAAATTCATGAAACTTGGCAGTTGTGTGTCCAATTATAGATCAGATATATTTGCGAAGTTTTAGTGGAACTGCTTGGCAGGTTCGGGTACCTGCCATACAACTCCAAAAGCTAATTTTAAATATTTGGAAAAATAATAAAGTCAAATTCATGAAACTTGGCAGTTGTGTGTCCAATTATAGGTCAGATATATTTCTGAAGTGTTATTGGAATTGCTTGACAGGTTCAGGTACTTGCCATTCCACTCCAAAAGCTTATTTTAAATATTTGGAAAAATTTCAAAGTCAGATTCATGAAACTTGGCTGTCAGATGTCCAATTATAGATCAGACATATCCGTGAAGTTTCTATAGAATGGTTTCACAGGTTTGAGTAATTGCTATACAACAATGAAAGGTGCAGGGTATAATTCAATCGGTTTATACCGACTGAAACGTTTTTAGTTTTTTTAAAAAGGATTTTGCTTGCCTTTATAAAAAATAATGCAGTAAGTTTGAATTTATCTGCGGGAAAACAAAATTCTAATTATCGAGCTGCCTGACTTTTATTAATCATTCTGGGTTTTGTTATTTTGTTTTACTCAATTATATAGGTTCACTTATATTGCATTATTTTTTGATAAGTGAAACTCTAAGCTAACTTGACTTCACAAAATTTTTCGTTAAGATGGGTTTACTACATCTAT